AAGACACTTACACAAGCCCTGACTCTCCCGTGGCCGAAACCGACACCAGAAGGCGATTTCGTATCACCCACATCAAAAAGTAGCGGCCGCCCAACCAACATGCCGACCATTGACGCAGACTGAAAAGTCCGCAATGGCAAATAGGCGCATAACCCTGAAATTAATTTATTTTTGTACCTGTTCAAATTTTCTAGTTTGCAATGTTATGGCCCTGAAGATGGTTTGCCGAAAAGTATACTTTGCCTAACAAATTAACTTTTCAAGTTAAAAAATGGGAATATTTAACGAACTAATACATTTATTTAAAAATCTTTTGGAGATATTATTGTTCGTTTATGGTACAAACCGCACAAACATGTGGTTTTGATCCATAACTTTCAAAAATATAGAAACATTTATGGTTTTGAAGAAACATAAGATTGTATCCGCTTGTGTTCTACTTTTCCTTCGATAAACAGATCTGAACTAAAATAAACCGTACTAAACCACTTTCTGTACCTCAACTCAACACAATTAACAACCGCAAATGTGTGCCATACTGCCACTTCGCACTTTGATTTTGACCATTCATAATTTAAGCAATCGACTGTACACTTTGCATTTTAAGGTCGCATTGAACGCAGCGAACGCCATGAAAGACAACTTATTAGCTGGCAGAAGTTCTGCTCGTTAGACTTCCTACGTCACAATAGAATGACCATCCGCCTGGCTTTGGAACATCCCAAATTCGCAGCCAAGGAATCAAGAGAAAAGGGCATCTTCACGAAGCCGTTCAGGGAAGAACCCAAATCAAATCATGGCGAACACGACGGCGAGACATATAAGGAAACACAAACTATTATGGAGACACTGACGGTCCTTCAGAACTACGTAGAGGAAATGTCTGATGGTCTAGCTAGGGTCAACCCAGAGGTGAGTTACAAACACCCTCATATTCATGATAGTATTCGTGATAAATATAGGGTCACAACCAGTGTTCAGCCTTTAGTTGCTAATGTTTTCGCATGAGCATATTCAGAGAGTTAAGTTATTTTGGGCGTCAAGGTGGGGCAAGGAAGAATGATCCGACAACAGGCTGCAGGGCGAGAAGCGTTGCACTATTGGTTAGCCTGCAGCCTAATCTCAAGATATTTTCGTCTTCTCAAGGTGTCAGCCTTAGAACGAACTTGTTTTTCCGCACTGCTATCGCTTCGTCGGAAATTCGTATCCAGGGCAGTCCTCGAATCTTTCCAACTGAACCAGACTAACTAAACGGCTCCAGATGTTTCTTACCGAGGTAGTGGGTCCTGGATTTCATTACTTGTCTAATGGTTACCTCCAGTCTGTGTTAGACGCCAACTGCAAATGGTGCGAAAGTGTGACCGAAGGTCTTTAAGACGATTTAGACGCACGAAGCCGTGCGTTTTTCTTATTTACTCGACCTTGCATATGTGCTAGACACCGCTCGTCTAGGACTGGGCTTCCAACGACAAGCTGCAGGGCGAAAAGCAGATACTGAGGGTCACAAGCAAGAACAGGGGAGGCCGGGCATTTAGAAAGGGTTTAAACTTTCGTTGATGGACGCTCACCGATCGCTTCCGGGACTAACTCCTCCCCTTCTGTCTTGGGGCTCACTCTCGTGCCCTGCCGGCAGCCGCACTGTGGCTAGTAGTCTGGGCAGATAAAAATTGTCAACAAAGACAAGGCAGGCAAACGGTTAACTGCGTCGCAAACTACGCGTGCTCAAATTGCTTTGCCAAATGTTCCTCTGGATTCAGATCTGCTGCGACAAAAGCCAAGTAAAATTTCGCAGGGTGAATACAGTTGTATTTTTAAATGGCCGACGTCTCATTTGCTTATCTACTTACTTCAGTTTCCGTCAAAAACCATGATGCGAAAACTAAAAGCATATACAATAAATCATTTAACTATTTATTTAAATATTCCCCAAAATATGGAATGTGCTTACGATTTCAAAGAAGTACCGATGTTGCGTTTTAATATTGGTTAGCCTGCAGCCCAACCTCAAGATCTGTCCACCTCTTCGGAATGCCGGCCTTGGAAGGAGCTTCGTTCCGACATCCTGCTATATGTATACTCTTTAACACGTTTTTACCCAAGCAGTATGCATTTTTCTCATTAACTTCTAATATCCTCCGAAGTGCAAATATATATCATAGAAAAGCTGCACAAAATTCTTCTTGCTTGTAATCTGTTGGAAGAAAATTACGCCTTCTTCAAATTTTATGCTTCAAGAAGTTGTAACTGTTGACTCTAAAAAAATTCTCATTGCCGAATACTGTTGCAATCCCTCGGTCGTTGCACTTTTATTCAAGTTCACATTTTAAAGAGTGTGTAATATGCGATCGAAGGAAAGTAAGAAAGAATACTTTAGTGCATGTTTTCTATATAATTTGTATTTGAGTTTAAAATAGCACCGTAAATCAATGAGTAAAACGCATACTACTCAAGGAGCAGGCTATCAGAAAGAAAATTCTTTTTGTACACAGGTGTGTTTGCGCAGATGTCTTGAAAATCACTTGTTACCGAAGTGTGCTTCATACAACCCCCTCCCCGGGTGAACACGGAGCCGGCGAGGCTAGCAATGCTTAAACATGGCAAAACAATTTTCGCTGGATCCGTCAAAATTGGAACGCGAGGCTGCGCAAATACCATCCGATAATTGACCAAGAGAAGGCCAGATGCTGTGAGTTCATGGGGGACACAGCACAAAAGTGCTAAGGAAAGAGTGTTTGAACGAGCCCGTGGAAAGCAAGTAATTCGCGAAGCAGTACTGAGGAATACATTTCGCAAACTGCATAATTCAACGTTATCCAGAAGCGCTATACTGGTACACAACTTGTTTTCGAAAGAAGGAAACTTGTCTAAAAGCCGGCTTACTGAAGAGGCTTAAATCTCTTGAGATTCAGTTGTAGGCTAAGCACAATAACAACGCAACCGCTGGTTGGACGCCTTCATTCACCTGATGTTTCGAATTCATTTTCTAATGCATAAGCAGAGAAAGGCACTTCTTCTTCTCTTTTCGTACGCAAGGACTCACAGTAAGGTATATTCGGTATGCTACAACATAGTTTTGACAATTAAGGGTCCCCATGTGTGTCGTAGCCCCTGTTTGATTAAGAGTCCCCGCCAGCTCCCAAACTGGTTGTTATTGTGAGACGGAGAAACGCCGAGACCCCAACCGGCTTGAGCCAAATGTCCGCGGGGGTGATTTGGGTGCCTGGCCGGCAACTGCAAGCGAACCGATGCTGACAGTAATGCGGAGAAACGCCGCAGTCGGAATAGCTGACGGGTGTGGGCGGGTAGAGCTGGTGTTGGTTTATGGCGAAGGAGCATTGAGTAGTCACTGCGTAGTTAAGCCAAGTTCCAGCGGGTGACCCTCGAGAGTTTTTTTTTTC